ACAACCACAGCCAATTGGAAAACAAGAGTTTGCCATCATTATGGTAAGTCTTTATAACATGTAGCAATAATTTACATCATCAGAACGGAATTTAACTACAACTATAATTTTCTTAGATCGCAGAGGTCGCGGCAATTAAAGTCTCTGACAAGCAACTTGAGACGATCGAAGGATGACATATAGTAAATAGCAAATATAGATCTATTACAGTGTAAACAAGCTTAAACGGTGATAATTACCAGCATTTGATTTTTCACCTTAAGTGCTTTATTATTATTATTATTGACAGTGGTATCAAAGACAGGCACAAGTTGCATAACAACAAAATGCGGAAAGATAAAAATTGTAGAACAATCTATGAATAAACATGATAGAACGTATGTTCCGTAAATTCTCTTTAAATTAACATGGAGAAAACGAATAGATATTTGCCTCCACCCCCGATAAATTGTTTACAAGACGCCCGAAACCAAGTCCCCCTCCCCTCGGGCGTCTTTTCACCGTTCTCCTGGCTATTTTAAATTTTTCATCTATGATAAATTGTTTACAAGACGCTCGAAAACCAACCTCCACCTTTTACACTCCCCCCCCCCCCCGGGGCGCGACATTTCCAACGAACACCCGCAATTTTTGCCGGAGTCCGTGGCTTTCCTGTGAGAAATCCCGTAATGTATACAGGATTTTCCTGATATGGTTCAAAGGCGATGCTTGCTAGTATTGCGCGTGGCTGACCGAAAGTTCTTTTTTGATTACCGGCCAATTGTGGATATGCCCAGGCGAATCCCTGTTGAGGTCTACGGCCGCGACGATGACGGTAGCCATGTTGAGGATGTGCCTGGTAAATGTGAGGCCTTCTTCGTAGCCATTTTTGACGAGGTATCGTACGGAGTCCCATCTTCGGAATCTCCTTTATCTTGTGGGTTGTTTGAGTACAGAGCATGGTAGCGGTAGCAAGTTCTTTAGCAAAAGCGAAGCGTTGAGAGTTTATGGTTACGGTAGATACAGACATAGCTAAAAAGCTGTTGATAGTAGAACAGTTCGCCGCAAATCTTTTTAAATGTGCGCTTTGAAATACACATGATCTAACCCATGAACTATATTTGGAAACGAACTGATCTCTTATCATTCATCGATTGCTTGGCATCTAATCTAATACACTGATATACCGATATCATTTAGTATTAGAAAGTGACATGTGAAATTATTAATTGCGTACTGATCGCGGAATTTTTATTTGTGCGTCGATGCTAAAAGCTAATGAATTCTTTGAAATCCATTGGTGATCTATCTGCAGTTGAGACTAAAATGTCTATGATTCCGATATACTAAATCTTGTTAACCCGTAGTCGATACATGATCCGACGATACGAACGTATGCAAGGGGAATGATATCAAACTGAGAGGCATAATCAATATTCGATACTTGAAAATAAGTAAATCATGAATGAAAACAACAAATCTTTACAATAAATATTTTGGAACTAGCCAAAAAGCGACAAAAAGGTTTACAAGCAAAGATCCAAAATTTTTAATGCTGTTTAAAAACAAAGCCGTATCGTTAGATGGATTTATGATATCTCGGAGTGGACCTTTTGTTTAAAGACTTTTTTTTTGTGAATGGACATGACAAACCACCCGTGCGTAATTCTTCTGTCCTTTATGGAGTCTCTTTCGGGAAGCCTTTTACTCAACGCTAACAATGCCCAGAAACATAGACTTCTTTTTTCTATACAGAGCCTTAGTTCACACATCCGCACTGTTTGTGATGCAATCACGCGTGTCGGATTGTCTAATATGTCGATTACTTTGATGTAACCATTGCGTGTGCAAACTTAAAATTCAACACGTAATTACGTCACTTTGAATGTTCAATGAAGAATTTCCCCGGTAAATAGAGGAAATCATTGTAACAGTATTGACAACTGCGCGATAAAGAGAAAATAGAACGGCGCAATCAAGGAAAAAAGTAAGCGACGCAATTCTATGGGAGAGCCTCTTACAAGCGAAATCCCAAGTCAAATCAGAAACCTTAACTTCAAAGGATGTGAGGCTAAATAAATAGCAAAAAATATAAGAAATAAAATAAATATGGTAAATGAAAAAATAATAATAGAAAATAAAAAACCAGTAGCCGATTGTATTAACAGGCTACCATCTACCATAGAGACATATATGGCATGTTAATAATGCCACCACACACAACGTGCACTACCGACAAAGGAGCGCAAAATCGTTATTGGGAGCACTGCCGCTCGAAGAGGGTTCAGCCAGACATAATTGGACAAAATACAATATATACGGCCAAGCTATGACGCGCCAGAAAATATCCGTATGGTATGCAATAGACATGGGAAATGTAGCATCAATGTTTCCGCAGTTTGAATGCGAACTTGCTAAGACGGACGGAAGAACAGAAGTACTTCCGTTGAACGTATCAATTATTGTCCTGTGGGCTGGAGAGACAAAAAAAGAAGCGGAAAGAAAGCTTGGCTGATATAGACTTCGATGTGAACAAATTAAAGAAGAAGATGGTAGCGGTGCTGGTATGCTTGTAGGAAAGAATAGAGGATAACATAGTTGGCGAAACGGAACATACGAACGTGATTTTCGCCGGTAATAATGTGGGAGAGGTAATTCTGTAATACGGGAACTTTGTGTGTTGGAAAATCAGTTAAAGGACACTTGGATGAGATGGTTATATGTCAAATGAGAGGATAAGATACAATGATTTATTGATTACTTTTCAAATACAAATAGAACGGCGCCGTGGTCAACCGTAGCTTGGTTAAGTAGCGTATATTGGACCAGATCTCTAGGAAATTGAGGATACAGCAACTGGCGGTTTTCTTTGGTCTATGATCGTTTAATCGAGCATCTGGACATTCTACGCAAGTTACGCTCGATAGTAACTAATAAACGATCCAGCACATGCTAGTTCGGATTGAATGGAATCAGAGGCGGATCAAGAGAGTGTGGAAGATAATTTCCGTATTTGAGAATTAGGTTACAAGAAAGAGGCAGAAAAGGGTGTACGGATTAAAAAAGGTTGTCGGAAAGGGTATAAACATTGGAGAATCAAACATAGTATCATGCGCTCGACGCGAAAGAGGTCAACTTAAAAGCGTATGTAGGAGATGAAATGTAGTGAACAGTGGCGTGTGTTTATTGACGCATAGACATTTCAATGATCAAGTAAAGAATGTCTTATGCTAAACTCACAACATGAGCAAAATCATCTTTCTCCTGATATATGTTCATTTTCTCTTATCATTCCCAATTCCCGCTAGTCTCTAAGCTACCGAAGCCTCTCATTCAATACTGTAATCAATTCAGGTAGCAGATCTGCCCATACCGCCTTTCTGTCGTTGAGTAAAGTGGATGAGAGGTACCACGCGTGTAACGTCAAACGACAATGATCAAAGAGTGTTATTGTATATGCAAGTCCTCTCCTCATTACGACCACGATCGATGGATAGTACCGCAAAATCGTCTTTCTCCTGATAAATGTTCATTTTCTCTTATCATTCCCAATTCCCGCTAGTCTCTAAGCTACCGAAGCTCCTCTCATTCAATACTGTAATCAATTTCCGATAGCCGATCTGCCCATACCCGCTTTTCTGTCGTTGATGAGACGGTACCACGCGTATAACGTCAAACGACAATGATCGAGTGTTATTGTATATGCAAGTCTTCTCCTCATTACGACCACGATCGATGGATAGTACCGCAAGCATTTTGTGGCAATAGAGTGTATTCCTTTGGCGTCATACGTATTTTATTGCTACTGGTGAACCACCTTTCAGAGATAGGGATTCGATAGAGGTTTAGTGTGCGATATTATGGATGGACTACGGCCGAGTGATGCTGTGATGCTGATACTGATAAGCGTCCTGATTGAAAAATCAGAGAAACGATAGTCTGAACGGAGTTAAACATTTGATTGCAATAGGTAATGCGTGTTTAAAAATGTCCAGCGGATGCTTCCATAATTGGCGTTTGCCTCACTTTTTTACGTTATGGATAGATCATTTGAAAATGATCAGCACCATCACGTAAATAATAAACTAAGGGGGTTACTAATAGTAATAGCAGTAACGAAAACTTTAATAAAATTTACGAGAGATACGGTATGTAAAAAGAGTAGAATTATAATTGTACAAAATTTTATTTATCATACCAAAGATAAAACGGACTTGACATTCTACAGCTCTCATTATATCTTGTCAGAGGTAATAATAATTATATTGGCGTCTATTGAGAAGAAACATTCTGTTATTGTGATAGTTAAAAACTTGAAAACATTCCGATTTAACTTTGCCTACCAAAATTGTCGGAACATTATGACCGTTTACAGTTATTCAAATACTGCCGACAAATTATTTCCTTACTCGGTCGGTGTTGTTGCCTTTGAATTAATGTTGAAGCCGTTATCAAAAAGTAGTGTCGACACGGTCTTATCAGTGTACATATACGAGTCAGTGTTAAATTATTGGAGTGGTGAGAATTGTTTAATAAATGGTTGCTTGTCGAGCTATACAGTTATTACGTCATAAAAATATGATTACAGAAACAACACTTGAAGTAGAGAAATCGAGTACTCGTTTGGGATCTTAGATAGGCGGAAATGCCGAGCCAACAATAGATTTAAACAAGTTTTAATAATTAATCTTATTATGTAAGAATGACAATTTTACTACAAGCGATAAAATTTGATAAACAATAATAATCAACTTGATAGCTACTCGGAAATCGGAAAATTAATCTCCTGATTATTATTAGAGACTGCGTTTGGTGTTCAGTTCAAAATACAGTCACTCAACCCAGAACTGGGACAGAGATACTGTACATCAAGGATACGCAATTATACTAAACACAGAAAATAAAAATAAGAAAGACGTATTAAATTATTTGCTCAAACACTTTGCAGGTAGCTTACGTAAAATCCCATTCAAGACAAATTAGTCTCAAGAACAAATGCATAGACGGTGTAATATTATCGATACGTTCCCCTAGCAAAGGTCTCCGGAGACTCTTGGCAACT